AACAGTCCCTCCCATGTACGCCAGCCAGAGATCAGGGTACAGTGAAGGACACTGGGGCCAAAGCATGAAGCCCCTAAACTTACCCTACATCCCTTGCTCTTCAGCACTTTACAGGACAGGCTATTATCTTGTTATCTTGCTTTTGTTTTTCTCATACTCGCAGGACAAGACACTTTTGAGATCTGTCCCATGCATTCAAGAAGATGCATGTGCTCAGTGCATACTAATTTGGTTAAAAGAAAACCCCAGGCTCCCGAGCTTTATCTCCCAAAGACTCCTGTGGGATCCTCAAGGCAGAGCAGCCACTCTGTCCTGCACGTCCTCTCAGCACTTTCAGATTCCATATTAGTAGAAACCAAGCATAACTTTATCTTCCTTGCATCTCCCTAGGACACTGGACTTCTGGGATGGCAAGGGGACATGGACTTCCCCTATGTCTCCAGCATCCTGCAAGGTGCCTGTAACAAAATAGGTTCTCAATAAATACTGACTCAGCTGAGACCAAAACAATCCAACCACCAGGGCTGCAACCAAAGCAGTACAGCCCCAAACTTCCCAAGCACGTGTTGGTTTCCAATAAGAACACGAGCCGTCAACAAAAGGAAAAACATGAGTTTGGAGAAGAAGGCACAAAGGGTTGACCTAGCAGCTCTGTCACCTACAGTCTTGGAGGTGTCCCCTCTGGGCCTTGTAGCTTTGCATTAGAGTGAAAGTACTAAACAAAATCTTTTCTAAGGTTGTTTTCAGCTTGTGAATAGGGAGGCCCTGGTGAGGTCACTCTGATTTCTAATTGTAATATGTTTTATTTGGGATTCCCACAGACATCTCAGGTTTCAGACCTCAGTGTCTGAAACATATGCCATCTCTCAAAAGCCAGTGTTGAGAAGTGCTGGAAAATGAGTTTGTCACAGGTTGGGGATGACACTGGTTCAGCACGTGCCTAGCATGTGCAAGGCCCTGGGCTAGATCACAGCACAGCAAAAATGTAAAATAGCATAATGACTTGGTCAAGTGAGGGAGGGAGGGAGGGAGGGAGGGAGGGAGGGGAAGTGCCTGTGGCACAGAGTAGTGGATGCCCAATCTCCCCGGGCAAGTTGGGATGCCAGGCCAGTTTCAAGGAGGAATCAAAGCAAACATGAAAGACACAGGGCTGTCTTCACAAAGAAAGGCTTTCCTGGACCCAAGGTGACTGTCAGCAGCGCTCCACGCCTCTCATTTGCAGAGTGAAACCGAGACCCAAGGCACAGAAGAGCATGAGTGCCAAATAGCGTGAGTTGAGCGTTGGCACTGGGACTCAGTGCTGGCTCTCTCAGGGGCCCACGACTGGTTTCCAGTGACCAAATTAGAGAAGGAAAGAGAGCTCAGATTCTCAGGTCCACCAGAGGGAAACCTGAAGTTTCCACATGAGTGACGGGACTGGACTCAGCTATATGTAACTTTTGTCCAGAATTCTTGGTGACCAAGCCATCTCCTCTATGGGTCCATAGACGGGGTGCACATATGCATACATGACTTGTGGAGCACTGCAGAGCACCGCACTTCCACGGTTTCACTTCCCTGCTTTCAGTTACTTGCAATCAACCAAAGTCCAAAAATAGTAAATGGAAAATTCTAGAAGGAAACAATTTATTATAAGTTTTAATTACCTTTTATTTCTGTGTATTATTCTAATTGTTCTATTTTATTACTGGGTATTGTCACTTCTTCCCGTGTCTAATTTAAAAGTTAACTTTATCACAGCTACACAGGGAGAAAACAGTGCCTGTGTATACAGAGTTCATACTATAAGAAGTCTCAGGCACCAAGGGGGGGGGGTCTTGGGACATATTTGAGGGTAAAAAATTACTCTGTAGGGACAAGCTGACTGACAGGTTTTGTCTCTTGTTTGCTTTATGTGGTACGGGAGGGGCCTGGGGTGAGAATTAAGGCTGCCTGACCCTGTAAGGCAAAGCCCTGTCCAAATATAAACACTTTGAGTCAACAATCTAACAGGCGCTGACTCCAGCAAGGTAAACAGGCCAGGGGGATCAAAAAGGAACCCATCCGGAGTTTTCTTCCTGAGAGAAGAGGCTGCTTGGTGGGAGGGGAGACAGATCCACCTGCCATGAAGTCCCCCTGTCATCCTGAAGTGCAGGACCTGAGAGCACCCTTCCCTGTGAAGCCTACACAGGGATCCATTCCTATCAAACTCCCAATAACGTCCCTGGCAGACTAGGTGGGGGCCCAGACTTCAGGAAGAGAGCTGTTGAGCCCAGCACCTTTGGGGAGCAGACTGAGCCTGCATGTGGGACAAACTTCAGCTTGCTGCTGCATAGCTGGGAAGAGCGGGACCCACACCCCTAAAGAAACCTCCGCCACCACTTCTAGCCTCACTCTCGTTTCTCATCCCAGCTCTGAGTGGGATGCTTTGATCTGCAGCCAAGCAAGGTGAGGAGAAGTTCCTGCTCACTACTCAGCCCAGCCCAGGCCTTGCCAGGACATTACCAGGAACAGCAAAATGAAGGAGAGCAAAGGGCTTGTAGGACTCCAGAACCAGGGGAAAACGCCCTGTATTCATTCTTTCACTTCTTTATTCAGCAGCAGTTGTGTGACAGAAGTCCTTGTCTTCCAGACCTGAAGTCAGGGCGTGCTCTTGCATGCACAATATGAACATAACGTGTACACAGTCTGCATGTACACACGCTCACGGTTGCATAGAATATCTATTCTACAGGACACATTTTGCAGATAAGTGCAGTGGCCCCCTTTACAGATAGGGAAACAGACTCTGAGAGGGTAAATCTCGGGCTAACAGTTAGAAACAGGCAGATTGATAATGGAAAGGGAGGAGAACGCCCATCCTGCCCTCAGATTTGGGCAGGGGCAGAGGCTGAGAAAGGTGAACTCTGTCGGTCCTTTGAAATCAACGAGATTTCAGAAAATGGCCTGGCCCTGGTGTTTGGGGCAGGAAGGGGAGGTGCAGGAAGACGCAGGGAGCCCTGGGCTGAGGCCTCTGGCGGAGCCAAGCCGCGGTTTCCACAGCGGCCGGCAGGGGGCAGTGCGCCATGCCTTTTCGAAAGCCTCCGGCGCGCAGAGGGCCAGCATCGCGGAAAGAAAACCAGGGGGCACCGCCCGCAGCTTCCAGGAACAAACCAGAAGTAGAACGCGGCTTGTAGTAGGTGCTCAAGGCACGTCTAGCAGCCGGACGGGCCAGAGCGACTACATGAATTTGAATTCAGCAGAATAAGTGGGAAGGGGAGAAGGGACGTCCCAGCCCGTACCAGCATTTTCTAACGTGAAGGCCTTTTCAGTGAACACAGCTAGCACCTACTATGTGCCAGGCGCGATGGCGACAACTGAACAACCTCATTCCCTGCCCGTGCCATTTTCCCGCTGGAAAGCCTCCTTCCCCTCCCCTCCCCTCAGCCGCAGGAAGGGGGTGGGCGCTCCGTTGTCTCCTTGGGGAACCATTTCAACACAATTCGGTGGTGCGTGGGGACCTGCGAGAGCGATAAACTGCGAGAGGAGAGGGGTCCAGGAAAACACTTGTGCAAGCCCGGCCGATGCCTGATACAGCGACGCGGAAAGCTTGTCCCTGCCTCAGAGTCATGGTTGTCCCTCTCTGCGGGACTCGCCGGGCCCCCAAGACGCAGTGACCCGCCCAGCCCCCACCCACCCGCACTCTTCAGAGCGCGCACGTGTCCCCTAGTCCAGCGCCACCAAGCCCCGCGCGTAGTATGCGCCGTCTGGGACCCTCGGGCAAGAGGAAGGAAAGACTAAAGACTCCGGGTTTCAGCCAACAAACAGTCCAACTGATCCCGACACTCTTTCCCGGAGACCTGGCCTCAAGGCAAGGCGCCCTCAGGCGAATCTGTGCCAAGCTGGGGCAGGCAGCCTCAACCCCCATCTCAAGTTCAGCCGCGATTCCTCCCGCAAGGTCAAGCTCAAACACTCACACAGAGAGAAAGGAGGAGCCGAAAGTTACGCCATGGTCCCGATTCCAAACTAGCTGTACTCTCACCAAGTGGCCTTGCCCCAGTTGTCACCGTTTCCGCCCCCACGCGCTCCTACAAGGGGCGGACCCTGCCCCGCGCAGGTCACACACGCTAGAGACGCAGACAACTTGCTAACTTTTGTCACATTATTTCTTGGCAGCTGCTACGCCTAACGGGGTTGGGGCGGACTCCGAGTTGCCAGTTGCTGCCAGCAACACCCCTGCCGTGTTCCCTTTGCCCACCCGAATCCCCCACTTCCCACCACGCCGCTTCCAGCTGCCAGGTCCCGGGCGCCAACTTCTCCCCCGGATCCTCAGCCGCACAGGCTTGGAGGCGTCCCGGGGGCCAACAGCCTCCTCGCGGGTCTGCGCCTGCTCCCAGCGGATTGGGAGACTCGATCCACACACAGTCCCACAACCTCCGGTCCCGATCGCCAGCTGCCTCTGTGCGCCGCGGCGGTGTCCCAAACCGAGACCTGGACAACGCTCCGGCGCGGAGAGCCGCCACAGGGTGGGGTCTCCTCCTATCTGCGTCCCGGGTCGGGGAGATCCTCCCCGGTGCCGGATGCAGTGTCACTAGGGCCGTTCCGGGGACCGCTGCCCCAGCCCGCTGTAGACTCCCGGCTGAGCTCCGGGCAGCTCCTCCAGTAAGCTCCTAAGATCCCGGAGCCCGAACCTCCTCCCAGACCTTCTTCTCTCTAAGACCCGGGTGGTCGCCGCGGCTAGAGAAGGGGTCCCTACTTGTCTCCTTCCCAGTTCCTGGGGTCTTCAGTCCCACTCCCACTCTCACACCCTTCTAGTCCCCTGCCCTCCCCTCTGTTCCCGGGTCCGGACAATCTCCCCCGCACTCGGAGAACACACTCGAAAACTGCCCGAACCCCAACTCGCGCGGGCGCAGTCACCCGCGCACCCCAGCTGCGTTGGGGTTCCACACGCACTCGCCACAGCTGGAGATACGCCGGAGTTTCCCGGCTTTGGGCATGGAGGGGTTTGGAGGAGTCTATAAGGGGGAGTCCCGAATACTCACCCTTGCCAGCTCACATCATCTCGTCCTCCTCTGTCGCCTCCTCTTCTTCCTCCTCTCTTTCCTCCCTCAGGTCTAGGGTCCTTTGTCTTTGCAAAGTGTCGAAACTGTCTGGCATAGTGGGTTCCGCCGGCGGAGGCTAGCGCCGGGGAAGCGGGAGGCGGGGTGAGGATGGGAGCGGTTTCGGAACACCTTCCCCCGGGTGTAACGGGAGTGGGAGGCGGAGCGATCGGGAGGGGCCCGGGCGCACCCGAGCCCTGCGGCCGCCTCCTCGGCGCGTGGCCCTCCCCTTCCTCCGCCCAGTGCCCGCCCTCCGGCGCCCCGGCTCCCCTCCGCCCCCCCCCCCCCCCCGCCGGCCTCGGCTCGGCTTTCCCCTGGCTCGGGGCTTCCTGCGAGCCCAATATAGCTCTGTCGAGCCACGTGGACCGCAGCAGGCCGGGCCGCGGAGATGCCGGTGGCTGCAGCGCGGGGACCGGGATCACCGCCTGGAGAGGGGCTCTGCGGGGACAGCTCCGCCAGTCCCTGCGCCCGGGCCGCGGGTCGCAAGCTAGCAAGGCTAGGGAAGAGCGGCGGGGCGGTTGGGAGCCCCTGGGGTACGTCCCGGCGAGCGCACGGAGAGGACGTGACGGTGCCCAGAAGAGCCCGAGTCTGGTGCGCGTTGGCGATAGGGGCCGATTCCCCTGCTGGCGACCCGGCAGAGCCACCTACTTCCTCTATGGGCGCGGGATTCGAGGTGGGATTTAGGGAGGGTGGGGGAGAAGCGTGGTGGGGCTAAAGGACTGGTGAAGATAGAGACCTGGCCCCGCGCGTCCCGGTTCGGAGCCGCAGAGCCCTCACCCCCTCCCTTCTCTCCTGGCCGCCGCAGGATTTTTCCTTCCTTATGCAGAGGCTGCAGCGCCGTCCAGAGCCGGGCGAAGGCTGGGGCTTTGGTTGGGGAGATTAGGTTTGTGGTTATTTTGCCCTCCTTCGTTTATAGGGTAGTGAGGGCGGTGGAGACTTACTTTGCTTAAATGGAATACTGTACACAGAATGTAAGAGCTGTTTGTAAAAAATCTGGTTTTGCAGCTCTTACCCCCTCACCGGGATCACCTCTTTTGCAACTTTTCAGTGGAATGTTAAGAGGGAAGATGCAAAGCGCGCCTAGGGTGCCATTGCTTCCTCCAGCTCCCTGAGCTCCTGGAGAGAGAGAGCAGCTTCTCAGAGTAGCTGAGCCGCGGAGCCTTCACTCATCAGAGGGGATGCTGTAGTGTAGGGATTCCTCCCAGGTGGAGTCCTACCATCCACTCCGTGGATGCCTCATCTTGGGCTAGTTTCTCTGACCCTTAGCTGCCCTACCTCTGCACCTCGCTGTCCCCCTGCGAAAAGCGGCCTAATTGCAGTGTCTATTTGATAAGGTTGTTGAGAGCATGATGGGAATTCACGCACGCAGAACCCTTGGAACTGTGTTTAGCGTTTACTGAGTGCTCAATCTAGCTAGCTGTGGAGGTCAAAGACTTTTCTAGCACTAGGTTCATGCGGGCTAGATGGTCTGCCTAGAGGATGGCGGAGGAAGTGTTGGGGAATACCCAGACGTGGGAGAGAAGAGAGATATTAAGAGAACAGTGAGAGAGAGACTGATTTAAAAGGGCGAAGGATAGGAGACAGAAGGAGAAAATTGGCCATCCCAAAGAGAAGGGAAAGAGGAATAGAAACATGCAGCTACACTTGTCATGAAAACAAAAAAAGAGGCCAAAATAAATCTTAAAGCTCATGGAAATGGGAGTGCCCAGCTGTTAATTCCAGCAAACCGAGGGTAATGTAGGAAGATCCCACATGCAAGGCCAGCCTGGGCTATGTACCAAAACCCTGTCTCAAAAAGGATAAGGATAGGCAAGCCCTCTCCAAGGGTCCCTAAGAGAGGCCCTGGGGCCTGTCCTGCAACCTGCCTGTTCCCTGCCAGAGGAGTTTGAGAGATTGGGGGTTTCCGAGGTCTGAGCATTTACCCTGGTCCCATGCTGGTTTGGGTTCCCATGCTAGCGAAGGTGTGGGCCCCTTGTCTTGCCTGGAAGAACCTGTGGGCTTTGCTCTTTCTGAGACTCTGGGTCATTCTTGGCTGTGTGGGAGGAGGAGGGCAGAGAGTTCCAGGAACATCACCCACATTATGCAGCTAGCAGCATGTCTTCCAACAGCATCTAGCATGGACCACTTGGATTCTTAGGCTTGGAGGTGACTCAGAGCATCACCCAGGTGACTCATCATCAGAAACATCTCAAGTGGTCTCCCTACTGGCTTCACGGGGGACAAAGGCCATAGATGTTAGTGATTGTGTACCTGCTGGCCTTAATTTAACCAGACTTGCTGAGAATGGCAGGTGCTTCGATCTACTCCCTGCTGACTGCAGTCCCTGTCTCCCTGCTGGTTACATGGTAGATGCTCAGCAAAGAGCTACTGGCTGACTTAATAAAAGAAGTGTTGTGTACTGCAAGGATCAGATGAAAGAATGTATGTATAGGGAAGCACTTTGGGAAATGGAATTGGTATACCAATATAACACTATGCTACTATATCCTGGTAGACTCTGGAGAGAGGTTCAGATTAAGCAAATGAGTAGCTCCAGGCCATCCAGCTGTTCCACTTGGCAGCCAGGAACCCAAAGCAACTCAGTTTCCACCCATCCTTGGTGTTGGCAGATCCCTGGGTGACTCCACAATGAGGTGGATGTTTCGTATTCAGTGACACTGTGGTGAAGCATGATGAATTGTCCCCTTACCCAGGTACAAATGCACAACAAATGCCTCTTGTTCTGACCTCTGGAGAACCCAGGCAAGGCCTTTTTTGCCCATCCACTTCCTTTCTGTTATAACACATTTCTTCTTCTTGGTAAGAAGCAACTCTCTCCCTGTCAATTTCTTTTTTTTTTTTTTTTAGGTTGTGACATTGCATGCAAGCAGTGTCTCCTGATACTCTGGACCACTTCCAGGAGCTAGAGAAACGGGACTGTGTGCCAGAGGTGTATGCCTGCATTCCTCTTTGTCACCCTGAGTGTGTTTCCCGACATGCCCTGCCAGAGTACAATTGGAAATAGTCGTTACTAGGAGTGCCTGCACAGCAGGTCCCCAGGGGGCCCTGACATGAATTTAATGCTCACTGCCACCTCCTGTGTGTTCAGAGCACCAGCAAAGCTGTCAGTAATGATGGTTAAGGGAATTGATTGGGCCCTTTCCCTGCCCCCTTTCTTGGCACATCAGAGTAGAGACACTAATGGGTCTGATACCATTTGAGCAACTGTGCAGAAAAGAAGAGGCTGCCTGAAAAGCGAGAGCACACAAGGAAGGGGTGATGATAGGTAAGACACCTAAAAAACTAGCTAGCATTTGTTGCCCTTAACGCAGAGAAACTAAAGCAGATACCTTAAAGCAACTGAGGCCAATAGGAAAAGGGGAACAGGTACTAGAGAAAAGGTTAGATCAAAAAGAATTAACCTAGAAGGTAACACCCACTCACAGGAAATCAATGTGAGTCAATGCCCTGTATAGCTATCCTTATCTCAACCAGCAAAAACCCTTGTTCCTTCCTATTATTGTTTATACTCTCTCTACAACAAAATTAGAAATAAGGGCAAAATAGTTTCTGCTGGGTATTGGGGGGGAGAGGGAGGGGGTGGAGTGGGTGGTAAGGGAGGGGGTGGGGGCAGGGGGGAGAAATGAACCAAGCCTTGTATGCACATATGAATAATAAAAGAAAAATGAAAAAAAAAAAAAGAAGAGGCTGCCTGACTTGTCAGATGAGTGCAGAGGTGATGCACTCTGCATGCTTGTATTTTATCCAGGTCTGAGGGCTGTGACCTCAAGTTTTCTCCGAAAAAAGGGGGTGAACAAGGGAGTGAACATAGGGACATGCAGACGAACTAAACCTGGGAAGTGGAAAGGAGAGACTGCCCACATGTTTCTCTCTTGTCTTTTCTTCCCCTCTTCTCCCCGCTTCCTCCCTGCATGCAGGCTTTCTCTGTTAAATCCTGGGATAGCCCCTAAATTTTTCTGCATGCTTGTGGCCCCAGCCCCTCTACGTCACTCACAGCAGATACTGAAAGAATCCTTTTAGCTTCACTTCCCCCTCTTTTTTTTCAAAAAATTTGATATTGACATAATTATAGCTTTATAGGAAGTTTCAATAATGACCCGCCCAGGGATGACGTATCACTACAGAACAGTATCAAAACTACCAAGTTAACGTTAGAACACTTCTGTTAACTAGCAGTTAACATCTTTAACGTCTATATACTTTTAAATGCTTTTATTAGTATGCAACAGTTATAGAGGGTGTTTCATTCTGACATTTCCATATATACATGCATCGTACCCCGGGTTGGTCCTCCCCCCAGGGAAGTGCTCTTCCCCCACTTCCCTTCTTAAAATGACTTAAGGTTTCAGTGTTACTTATGCATGTATGTGAAGAAAGTACCTCAACCGTATTTGCCCTCCTTTCCCCTCTGCATTACCCCTCCCCTCCCAGTATCCTCCTCTTAGCATGGCCGTTCTACCTTCCTGTCATTCATTGTATAAATGTTGGTTCATTGTTCAGTGGGATTTGCCTTAGTATTTTACCTGGAAATGTATTGTACTCTAGTCGGTCTAACCCCTCTGTTACTCCTCCTTATCCGTTTCCCCTACTCCGTATCATTCAACAGTTTTCAGTGCATTTCACTGTGTCTTGTTCCTAGACAGATGTGATGTATTTCAATATTACTCACTTTCTAGCATTCTCTTCTTTTCCTTCTCCCTTAGTCTAACAGTCTCATTTTTTAGAAACATGTGTGTGTATGATAATACTTGTATTTGTATTTGGATCTATCTTTCATACATGAGGGAAAACATCCACCTTTCATCTTTCTGAACCTGGCTTTCTTCACTTCCCCCTCTTGAACCACCCCATACTTTAGTTTTTCCAGGAGAGGAATCTGGTTGGCAGGCCTCATTCACAGGGTCATGGGTGAACAGCCCAACCTGAATAGGCTTCCCAGGCAGCACCACTGGGTGAGCATGGGGAAGGAGGCCCCTCCAGTAGATACTGCATTGGAGGACCTGTAAGCCCCACCCCAATCTCCTGAGCATCTTGGAGGTATTTGGGTTAGCAGAACCACTCAGCATCCCCATAGAATTTATACTCCCTATCTATATTAGACCCTATACCCACACCAAGCCAGCTCCT